TTGGCCTGCTGTGTTCATCCAGCTCTACACCTTGTTATCTCTGATTCTCCAGCATCTGCAGTTCCTACTATCAGAGGAAGAAGGTACTTTGATCATCCTCATCAAAATGGCCGTTCTGAGATGAGGAGATGCTGATTGGTCATTTCAGTGGCTAACTGGGATCTTGTTATCGTTGTGGTATCGAACAGGAAAATTTGCAATTCCTTTGTGTCATGGTTTTCACAGCAGACTGGACATCTTGAGACAGCTTATTGGCACAATAATTGTGAGTTCAACAGTTTAAGGTGGTGCTAGTGGAGGAGCTGACTTTAACTTTCAGAACATTCCTTAATGGTAATAAATAGGACCCAGCTCAAGACTCTAGCATTGTTGACTATTTGTTTTTAATGATGATTTAAACAGGAAATCGAGAGAATACAGTTTTACCGAATAATTATGATTTTTCTTCGTGGTCTCTGGCTAAAACAATCTGGTTTTGTGTCCTGGGCCTCCACTGATACTCACCAACTCCCTGAGACTGATCATATGGTTGGGCCTTCAGTAATGAGGCTCCTCATTGAATTGATAAGAAGCTTGCCAGACTGCATTCAAGTACTGGATTTACACTTGGTGTGTGGGGTCTTTCGTTGCTGGGAGCACACAGGGTCGTCGCCCCTGAAATTGCCAGCTACTTCACTTTGTGCGCTACATTTTTCTCGATTGGCACATGTACAATTGGGAGATTGAATACACTGATAAGAATTCACTGTATTTTTCAACTAATCAAAACTTGCTAAAATGAAAATCAAATATTGGACTTCCAAATTTGAACAAAAATTCAGAATAAGATTTCACTTGATGAGTTCAAAGCTATAGTCTATACTCGGTGAGCCAACCAACCTCAACACCCACAACCGGAGCTACAAATCTACTCCAAAACCTTATAGTCTATATCCTCCCTCACTTTTATCTGTAAACCATAAATTGTGAAGAAACTGAGGCAGCAGTCATCATATCTATTTTGTTTGTCACTTGTCAACCTGCTTGTTCAATAGCTCATGCCATCTAAAATTTCTACACTTCCAAAACCATTCTTGTTTCTCATTAATTTTAAAACTTAATAAAATAGTAATGAATTTATTCAACACACACTACTTGATTAATGAGGAGAGCTCAATTCTGAAAGCTGCTTTGCTCAAAATATGGATGGCAGTGCACCTCTAGGAATACATTTGCTCAGAGACACAGCATATGTAAAATACTCAGCCATAATTCTTGAATGTTTGTTTAAAGGTCATTTAAACCCAGGATGACCACATTGTTCATGAATGAGGATAAGAATCTGCCACAGTGTCACTCATTTTATATTGTGCGTGTGATCAAAGTCACTGCCAGCACTCATCGAGAAGCTAGCTGGTTAAGTTGCACGAGTTTTAAGGGTAAATAATAAGGAGAAAACTGTTTCTATTTTTGGACAAGTAATGACTGTAATAAGCCTTGTTGGTCTCATATAATAACAGGGAAGGTTACGAGTAGAAAAACCTAGGAACTCTTTGATAAAAATAGCAGCAAGCTTATAAACCCTCAAAACAAATGATAGTTTTGAAATCCACTGTTTTGCCTACGACCCAGGCTTTGCTCTCTGAAAATCTTTATGTATGATAAAAGACATAGCAAGCCAATTATAAAGGGTAGCACTAAGTTATGTGGGATGTCACCAGCATCAAGAAGACAGAGTACTCAAAGAGGTGGTCACCGAGGCTGTAAAGAGCTCATGAGGTTTATCAAGAAAGTCAAGCAACATCAGGTCTAGGGTTTAAGCATATGGGTATGTGAATTTGGCTCATGTGTTTTTGACTTGTTTAAGCTGTTACTGTCTGCTGATAATGCTTACTTTTGTATTCCAGATGGAAGCCAGCTGCAGAAACACTGATGTCAGAGTAGAAATGCAAATAAAGTTGATTGGAGCTACTGTTCAACAAAGCGGGGACAGTGGTGCCTGTAAGATATGAGTCAGAGAAAATAATCAGAGGAGATTACCTTCAGCAGATTGCTCCATCATGGGCATTATAACATGCACTGAAAGTTTAACAAAGTGCATTACAGCAAATTTAGTACATTGGTCCTAATATGAAGCTCATTTGTTGCTGCCTTTGAGATTTGATAACATCCATTTTAGACCTTACACCAATTCAAAATCCTTTCTAATATTGCAGCAGAAGACCAATGAAGCTAATTTGCCATAAAACAGCCTTGCACACCTCAGATGACCTACTTCACTGCTTCAAGTCTACTGAAGTTCACTCAGAAGTGCATGAATTAATACCACTTTAAATAAACGTAAAATAATTTCCTAGTGTAATGCTATAGCATATCAATGCAACAGGGCAAAGGGTTGCATCAATGACCCTCTGGTAATCAGTCTCAGGTTCTGCCATTAGGATGGAGCTTCACCTCATGACTGAGATTTGCCCAGGTGGGAAGGAAGGCAGGGGGAGGGGAATCAGATGCTGAGTCAGCTTGAAATCTTTAAGCATTTCCTCCCACATAGCAGCGACAGACCCAGAAGGAAAAACCAGTAAACCTGTGATCAGGCTCATCATGTATACTTCATAATGCAGCTCCAACACAAACAGTAGGTTCACTTGTAGTCATTGTTGTTTTTTCCTTTTGGGGAAACAAGGGCAGACTGTAATGCCTACCTCCATGATAAGTTGCCTGGTGAGGTCAATATGCCAGATAGGAAGGTGGTGGGCAGAGACTCTGCCATCTTCTCACCTCCACCTTGTTTAATTTCATGACAGGAAGCCCCTAGCATTGGGCGGGGAATGGGAGTTCTGCAGGTGATGGTCCTTACCAAGTGGGCAGCACAACAAGAAAACCCAAGGGAGGAAGCTAATGGGCTCCTAGGGATGGGAATGTTCCTCAATTTGAGAGTGTCCCACATCAGGAAGTAGGAGCAAGAGAAAGAGTGGACTCGCTAAGAGCTGCCCCCGTCCTTTCTGCCAAACAAGAGCAGTCGTGACTGCTGGCACCGCTGTTCAACACAACTGTTGGCTTCTCATTGGTTGGCAACTGTTGGCATATGGGATGTCCTTCCTCAGGATCCTTGATCCCTGGCAAGGCCCACACTGTCCAGTTAAGTGCCCGTGGAATGCAACAGGTTTTCCCTAAAAGTAAGGATGTGTGGCTCTTGCTGGCTCTTCATCTGGTAAGGAAGATCCTGTCACCTGAATACTGCCCACAGGCAAATTCTCGAGAGTAAATCTTCTTCAGATTAAACCAACTCGAAAAGGTTAAAGGTTACAAACAGATTGTAGTTTTACGTCATTCAGAACAGAATCTGGTAAAACCGGCATAAGTAAATTACAATCATGTAAATAATCAAGATTTTGCACACTTCTTCATCAATTTTCAGCAAAATCTTTACTTCTAAAAATGCTAAATAAGAATAATTACTTAACTTGGGTACTTTTTCACCCCGTAACCCCTCCTTATATTATTTTATTTCTCTTTTTCATTGCCTACAAAATATTCATCTGAGACTCAGGAGGTGCCAGATTTGTACACGTCTGCAAATACATCCTTGACACAGCTACTTAGAGCACCTTGCACAGGTGGTTCTGGAGTCAAATGTTTCTCCTTTCTTCCCTCTTTCTGAAGCAGACTGTTGAGCCTATACTCAAGCTTTGGTCCTCTGACAGCACTTGCTAAGATAATAAATGTGAACATAAACCCTCACTGCAAGACTCTGGATTCACTGATTCAGAAAATAGCCAAACATTTCATTTTACAAGTCACCTTCTGTTAACCTACAAAACTGGGATTTTCCTTTAATCCAACAGTGGGTTACAATTTTGAGACTGCAACAGCTGTAAAGCCTTTTCTCAGTGTAATATTACCAATCTAAAAAGTATTGAAATTCTGTGCAGTTATTAATGTAAACAGTTTTTATCATCAAATACCTGCAAAAGTCATCTTCAAAGTTATCTTAGATTTCAACAGAGCTTCAGATTATCCTCTGGGGCCAAAATTAAATATTTTACAGTACATTTCATTTCAGTGCCAAAATGAAAACATACTCATCAAATGATTAATAATTTATAGGTAGTCATCAACAATTATCTCATGTGAGCCTGGAATAATGCCATTACATTGAATGTAATAAAATGATATTTTCAGCTATTTGGAATGTTTTGGATACTTAAAGCACTCAATGTCACAAACTACCAGAGGCACTTTATAATCTTAGCAGTTAATGCCCTTCACAATAGCTTTTGTGGGTATGTTGCTGTACTGGAATAGATAATGAAGGATGCACAGATGAAATGTGACCTACACCATTATCTGCAGAACAATCATTTTAAGCAGAGGAACATCATAAATGTGACAGCAATACTGAAGGTGTAATATTTCAGACTTGAGACCTCTGAACACTAATATTTAGCTGACACCTAAAGGCAAGAACATGTACTATCCTTCCCATCAAAAGTTATTTAGTCCATCGAATTTAATGTTTTCACAAAGTACTTAAAATATAATTTAACAGAAATGATACCTGATGTTTTAATTCAAAGGGAAATTGTTCCTAAGCAGTCTTTGGTCCCTAAAAGATTATTTATCCAGACTTGTCCTGACAAGACCTGCTTTGACCCATCCTCCCCCTCCCTCTATGTCTTGTTGAATGTTTGGTTTCTATTCTTAAAAACTTGAATTTCAGATTCAAAAACTGATTTATTCACTTTCTTTTAGGTTAAAATCACAGCCTTGATTATTTTTGTGCATTTTGACTGATATTTTTTTCTAACTATTTCACCTTACGTTTGCAAAACCCTTCCTCTGATCTGAACTTTGCTTTACATCAAATCATCTGCAAACAGCTATGTTATTTTTCCTTCACAGCACTTTGCAGACCTGAATCATAACTTGTCTGAATCTCTTTTTCTACTTAGAAAATCAGTTCAGCTCTACCAATCTGTCCTTATAATTTGGAACACCATTTTGGACACTTTCCAACATAGCACTCAGTGTATGCAAAGTTAAGGCTGAAGAGTCATCCATCGGAGATTAATGGAACACCTTTGAATTGTAAGGGTCATCTTCCTCCGTTTTGCATTTAGATTTGAGCAAAAGGAAATTTGAGCAGAATGTTATTATGCCAAGTCTTTGCTTCATAACATTGCGAAGGTACGTTCTAGGGATCTCAATGGATGGGGGTAATGGAGTAAAATACGCTTAAAGACAGTGCATTTTGTTTTATCAATGCCCAAAGAGTGTCCATTATGAGGGGAGCCAGAAAACTGAGGCCTTCTGTGTTGCATTCAAACTTTCACAAATTTGTGAGCGACAAGCAATGGTTAGAGAGAATACAGGGAAAATAAAATCTCTCCTTAACAGATACTGGGCACCAGCCATGGGTTTACAGCTATCAGTCATTGCTGCTTCTGCAGGTCTGCTCTGGAGAAACTGACAAGCCATGTTGAAATCAAGAAGTCCAGGAAGTTTACCTGCAGGTATTGGAGTTAAGTCGAGAGAAGATGTGCCATAAATGTGAGGTGTGTGTGCAAATTGTTTTTCGATGCTTTATGCCAGGTTCTTTGAGAATATTAATAAGCAGCATGAAATATATGCTAAACCCATTTCAGAAAAGGACATGACTATCGCCAATATTGGAATCTCAATGATAAGATGAAATTACCTGAGAAACTGCCAAGCATTGTTGCTGTAATATCACCACCATCAAAAACCTCCAGCGAATCCCAGTTATGCTCAGTAGCAAAGCTGATAACTTGAATCTGAAATAACAATTAAGATTTTTGTTAATTTTCAATTGGTTAGCCATTTATTAATATATGCGTCTTAGTTAAATTGGTATGTCAGATAAGAGTTACAAAGCAGAGGCGAGACATTAAAGCGGGAATTTGAACACCCTCAGTTCAAGTTCTGAGCAGCATAAGACTAATCAATATTCAGTCAAGATGGCATTAAATTGTTTGTTTCATTCAAAACAGCCACATGGATGGCTAGCACAAGAAAAGGAAACATCAGACCGCTAAAGCAATCGAGAGTTGACTGAAACTTTGCTGAAAGCAGATAATTAGAACAGACAAGAGGTAATTCACATTTCAACAAACCTCCCCCTTCTGTCAAACAGGAACATTTTATGAGGATACACTTTACCAAACAGGGCGGAATGGGGTAAATTTGGCAGAGAGAGCCACATGCAGCATCCAGAAGTAACGTTTTAGCTCTCTCATGGTAATTGAATCAGTGCCCTGCATGAAATCCTTCCCACCAGGTTCTCTTTATCATATTTCACAATGCTCAATGACCAGGTGGCATGGATTATCATTGACCTTGGTTCTCAGTGACTGACAGCTTCTCTCAAGAAGCAGAATATGCAGCCACATGATAAGCAAAAGAATGCATTCTGAGTAATGCCATTGGTATTCCTGCTACACATGGTGGTTTGTGTAAACGGGAAATTAACAATGCATCCTCTGATCAAAGTGCTGGTGATACAGTATCTGTAACTGTGCTGGAATAGATTGCCTTCTGTTTCACACTGTGAGGATGTGAAAAGAATCGTCCAGAGTCTAAGATATCTGGTCCAACTGTCATCTTTTAAATTTTCAATAAAATGCCCCATTCCACAGAGGCATGCAATATTAATTCATTTTGAGATCCACATCATATTTTAAGACTGCAACTGTGTTTGAGGTTTAAAAGTTGCAGGCTGCAGAGTTTATGAGGAAACACAGTGTTTATTGTAACTATGCACTGAAACTGTTTAATAAATTGTATTGTGCTTATTCTGCCTATTGATTTTGTCTGCTTGGCAAGCCATTACATTTCACACCCCAAACATATTCTATGCAGTGACATAATGGGCTAAAATGATTTACATTGTCATTTGGCAGATTACTTGGAATCACTGTGCCAATGTTAATTTTTATTTTTAATAAATTGCTCCCAGGGCAAAAATGTCTCTTGTAGCTGAAAATTCAAACAGTAAATAATTTTAAAAGCATCAGTTTTAAAAATAACAGACAACCTTTAAAGTTCTGCACTGTGTGTCTTTTTGGGCTGCGCTGTAGATTTAACAGACAGATTATTTATATATGTTTTACTGTAATTTGTAGAAAGCAGATCTATGACATTTACACTCAATTAATCTCTACAATCATACACTGTTAAATAATAAATGGCTAATAGGAACTGAATGAATAGAAACCCTGTTCAGTTATTATTACTTAACCAGAGTTCAATAGACAACCACATAGAGAAATCTAATTACAGAACAGACATCAATCCTGTGAATCTCTGCAAGTGAAACTCATAACATAACTAATACTGTTCATTTCCTGCAGTCTTCTAAATCCATCCCTTACTACATCCCTGTTTCACAAAGTTTCCTAGAAAGCCCTGACCTCAAAATTATGTTTGTTCATGTCTCATCCCAATCTGTCTCACATTTCCTCCTGTTTGAGGTGCAATTGATTTTTCCTGTGTCATGCTCTCAGACATTTTAGAACATCGTTCATGATAAGGGTGGTCACCGTTCTGACACATGAATTCATAAGTTAGAGATCAAAGCTGCAGGTCTCCACAACAATTACCTCTCCATATCTACCATAGTCACCACCCTTTAATAGCTCCAACATCTGTGGCCTAATATCCAGAGGCAAGCGGTGGAAACTAATAAAAAAAACAGAAATTGCTGGTGAAATTCAGCAGGTCTGGCGGCATCTGTGGGAAGAAAGCAGAGTTAATGTTTGAGTCCAGTGACTCCTCATCAGATTAAATGCTGCCCCCAGGTGAGTTTGGAGGCAGGAGTGGGGAATTTAATCAAGCAGCTGGAGAGCCTGCTGTTTTCCCATGCCTGCACCAATTAAGTTCAATGTGAGAAAGCTCTTGGACAACCCTCCTGCCCTGATATCTGTTGAGACTCTTAAATCAACAATTAATGATCACTCATTAGCCTCATCAATCAGCGGTGAGTGGGGAACTTTCCAGGTAGAGTGCCTGACATTTAAACCTTGTCAACTTTGACTTGGGGTTCCCAGGTGGAATGTCCCTTGGTAGAAATAATAAATAAGTCAAAAAAAAAATACACTGGTCAGTTTCTGAGTTGTTATTGAAGAATAGATAGTGGAATGTTGAGATCAAGCAGTTGATGTAGGGACCCCTGGTTCATGGAAATTCTTTCGTCTATTTCCTTTGACTGGCTTGGTGGTTCATTGGCTTTTGGCACTTAGGGTCAGAGAATGTCTTTACCCTTTCTTTCCTTACCTGTGTGGGCATTCTCAGAGCTATGAATGTTAGAGCTTACGGGTCCACGCACTAGGACATCAGGTCACTAATACAGATCAGACCAGGGTTGAAGCTCACTTTTAAGCAATGACCATGTGTATTCTTGAAAGGGGAAAACAGAAATAATAACTCTTGCCCAAACTGCTGCTTTTTTAAAAATTGTGTTCACACTCTGAGATAATGCCCAGGAACATACAGTTCAGTTTATACTCCATTTTCTCACTTTGAAGCCCCTGCCATCAAAGCTTCCATGACACCTTCTCCGGTGTGACATTCTGAGGTCTCTCGCTCAAGAAAGCCACCGAATTTACATCTGCAGCCACTTTGGCTGTATTAAAAAAATCAAGGGATTAAAGTTTGATATGACCTTAGGTACTCAGGGGTTATAAACCGTGGTCACAACAGGAGGCTGCAGGTCAATTCACTTAACTCAAAAACACAGTTTCCAATAATGTCCACATTGACAATGAGATGGCAAACAGAAGTGTCAGATCTCTGGAGATTTACGTGGGCAATGTGTGTGGCAATGTGCAATTTTGTTAGTTTTTCCTTGAGGTGCCATGCAGAATAAAAAGTTTCAGGCCCAATCTCCTGTATGAGGCTGCACTCTGTGCTCTCATGCTCTGAAGACTGAAAGTACAAAAAGTAACCTCACTAACTACTAGCTGAGATAGACAAATGTTGGACTGATGGGGGAGAGGGGGTAGATTAGGGTGGTGGTGCAAGACATCATCAACATTTGCACCCTGACTGTGAATGAATAACATCTGCTAAAAAAGAACTGATGCCAGGAAAGGACAATACTGGAATGACATCCGATGCTTTGGATGTTGAACACCACATCAGTACTTGCTGTTAGAGCTCAGTCATGATTAGCAGCCACAGGGGTAAAGTTTTGGAGGGTCAGGAATTCCAACAGAATTCTACCAGGAGTTGCTTCAGGACGCTGTTGCAAAGAAGAGGAAACATGACTGAAACACATTCCTTTACACTAGTGAATGGCAAATCTGAGAATCCCTATTGGAAACATTCACAGCATTATCAAACTTCAGTATGGAGGTACTGCTGAACATCTTAGGATCTCAAGGTGGTGTTATCCTGGATCTCATAAAGTCTTATTAAACAAGTCTATTTTACTCATGTAACCTGTATCTGATTGTTATCATACAATAAACCTCACCTGGTTCAAGACTGGAGCTTCTTCTCATTAATCTACCTAGTGGTGTGCCTCAATCACTTTGAACAAAATAGGCTCTCTAGAACGCAGAGGTAAAGGAGGACAGAGGCAGTCAATTACCAGCCACATGTTGGCATCACATGCTCACACATAACATCCAGTAACTTCCTATAATACACACTGCATTTTTCTTTTTGCATTATTGCATTTCAGCAATCCTTATTTCATGTTGCCTCACATTTCCTATCACTAAGTAATATAATGGTCATTTAAAATGAACTTTTTTAGTTTATTTGAGATTGTACTTTACAGGTTCCATTTTCAAGGTGTAAGGGTATTAAATTGTTGAACTTATTTGCTTGGGGTTTGGGCAGGGTCTCGGGGCACTTGGGGTGGGCAGCATGAACAAGGCAACCCAGTGAAATCCAACCACGTGTGTAAATATCACTGCGCAAGGAGTGCTGTCATGGAATATGAAGAGTTGCACATCTACTTTTGGATCTGTGAATTAAAGGACCCTCATTAACAGATAGACAAATAAATGCTCCTGCCCCCTGGATTGTTGCATGTGATATTTGGAATTATCTGTGAAATTTTACAGCATTGATATGGATATTCCTGAATTATAAAGAATGATTTCAAACTGGGCAATCTGAAATCACCAAACCAAAAAAAAACTGAAAGAACTGTGGATGTTGGAATTCAGAAATAAAAACAGAAATTGCTGAAAACAATCAGCAGGTTTGGCAGCACCAGTGACCCTTCTTCTAAACAGAGGCATTAACTCTGATTTCTCTCCACAAGTGCTGCCAAACTTGCTTAGTTTTTCCAGCAACTTCTGCTTTCGTTTCTGAAATCACCAACTTGGTCAGAAATGGCATTGTATTTTAAGGGAAGCAGTTTGATAGTGAACTCGGGACAACATCACCTGGAGACCTAAATTTGTCACATTTACCTCCCAGAACCTATTCAGTCATTTAGTATAGCCTGAGCTAACCACAGTCAACAGTGAACTCCTGAGTCATTACAAGTCCCCTCTGTGACAACAATATGTTGAAGATGTAGGCATAAAGAAACTTTATAACATACATATATTCAGAATACTGGTAATAAGTGAAGCAGGAAAATCAGTGAAAAGCTTAAAAAAACATTTAATTTTAAAGTTCAACATTAAATGGAAATAATTAGCATTATTTCAATAAATGAGGACTCCCGTAAGCTCTGTGACCAGAACAGTCAAATCTTGTTATTACAAACTCAATTCTCAACATTAAGTTGAGCTGAACTTTGAGCAGTAATTGAAGTTGTATCAAGATTATGTGATAAAGTTGATGACTAGAAATCTGTTGCAATAATTGGACAATTTATCGATAAGGCTTGTGTGCAGTAAAAATATTCAAATGGATGGGATACTAAATGTATATCCAAATATTAAAAATATAAATATAAATTGCTTTCCCACCTCATGCTTTTCTTTATTCCTATTAAAATGGGTGTTCAAAGATTAGTTTTCAATTCCATATATTTACTTTCATCAGAAAAGGGAATAGTGCCAAGGCACTGATGGATAATGAATGAGATTTGGAGGTACAAAAATTGACATAGAACAAGTCCAGGAAACTATAGATTGATTAGCTTAACATTAGGGATGGGCAAGACAATAGAATACTTACTGAAAAAATGTAATCAAAAAGCATTTAGATATTGAAAATTATGTATAGAACATAAACAAGGGGCCATAAGTATAACAGATTAGCAAAATATTAAAGACAGTGGAAATCTGAAATAAAAGCAGAAAGTACTGGATATTTTGGGGCTTCAGTGAATTGTATTCAGTATCATACATATAGAAAGGAAGACAGAGTTTGAGAACAGAAAGGGAAGGGTTACAGATGGTCAATATGAAGGTGAGGGCTAGGTGGAAATAGTAAGCAAAGTTAATAACATACACGAGTTCTGAGGAAGGGTCACTAGACCCGAAATGTTAACTCTGTCTTTTCCTTCACAGATGCTGCCAGACCTACTGAGCTTTTCCAGCAATTTCTATTTTGTTTCCGTGTTTAATTACATACACGGTATCCCCAATTTACGGATGTCCAACTTACAAAAGCTTATACTTGTGAATGCGATCTCTTAGCGATGATATTTTAAAGACCTGACATATGAACAATTCCTGTTATGGCTGCTTCATATTGATCTGCATTGTGTTCCAACTTACATACAAATTGACTTACAAACAGACTGCATCATGGAACCTGTTTGCGAACCGGGGAAGCCTGTATTCAAGTTTGTGACAACAGCAAGAAATTTCCCTGGCCTCCACCCGATCTCAGACCTTCCCTTTCCCTCTGTCCTGCATTCCTTTGCCTTTCTACATGCTTATAACTGTTGCACTTTTAACTTCAGGTTTTGTCAAAAACCTGTTGACTTAAAATGCTAACTTTGTTTCTCCCTCCACGGATGTTGTCTGACCAGCTGAGTATTTTGTTTCTGTTCATAGGCTGTAAATATACAATAATCACCAATAAATTCCACAGAATATCCAGGAGAAACATTTTTACCCTAAGAGTGAGTGGAATGTGAGAATTGCTACCATTGAGATTAGTTGAATCAAATAAAATAGATGCATTCTAGGGCAAGCAAGAAAAAAAACAGAAAAGCAGAGAAAGGAACAGGAGGGAATATTGGCAGTTTGTTTTTCTGAAGAAGGGTCCCGACCCGAAATGTCAGCCTTCCTGCTCCTCTAATGCTGCCTGGCCTGCTGTGTTCCTCGAGTTTAACGCTGTGTTATCTCAGACTCCAGCATTGGCAGTTCTTACTATCTCGGAATATTGACAGTGTTGTGGTGAAGAAAGGTGGGTAGTGTGTCATATGGAGTCTAAACACAGGCATCAACCTAGTGGGCTGAATGGTCCGTCTCTACATTGTAGGTACTTCATGATGCTGTGTGAAAATTTAACAGCAGATTTCATATCAGTCCTCTGATGGTGATAACTTGCATGTTTTTAAACAGTGGGCAGATTCTCAATGGCGTATGTGAAATTAATTGTCATTTGCCTTTTGTACAAATATGAATATAAATATCTCAGACTCCAGCAGTGGCAGTTCTTACTATCTTTGAATACAATACCTGTATGCCAGCTCCTTCAGGGACGGTGATTCTCCATAAACAGTTCAGGCTGTTCTGATAAGGATCGGGGAAGCCCGGTGACAGAATTGTGCCTTTTCGTTCAGTGAGATTTCCTCCACAAGGTACTGAAAAGAAAATGATAAACTGGCTTCATTAAGACTGAATAAGAATAATATATGAACTTTGTTGAAAGAGATTTACTGTCTTTGTACACAGCTGGACTCTCTGTGATTTGTTATAAATTCCTTAACAAGTAATATTGCTAAAAATGCTTTACAGCTCATGGAATCAGGGATCCAAATGTCTCGTAATAAAATGCAACTTGTACAAATGAACAAAAAAAGTAAGAAAATAAAGTCAATATGTATCCTTTCACCTCACTGCTTTAACATGGGTGACCGTCAGATACTTTATTTCATTCTGACACTTCCTATGAAATCAAATATTTCATTTATTTTTACTCTTTGGATGTAAACAATGCTATCAAGGCCACAATTGTATTTGTCAGCTTGCAATGCCTTCGACAAGGTGATGGTGAACCATTTTTCTTGAATTGTGACAGTCCACAGGTTCCTTCTACCACCAATACACAATGACAGATGTGTGTGTACGTATAAGATGGGTGACAGCAACCCATCATAGGCGACAACATCTCCTCCACCATAATCCTCAGCACCGGTGCCCCGCAAGGCTACATACTCAGCCCCCTACTATACTCCTTACACACTGATGACTGTATGGCCAAATTCTGCCTGAACTCCATTTCCAAGTTTATTGACGACACCACCATTGTAGATTGGATCTGAAACAATGATGAGACAGAATACAGGAAAGAGATTGAGTGCTTAGCGGCATGGTGTAAAGACAACAATCTTTCCATCAGTGTCAGCAAAATGAAGGAGCTGGTCATTGACTTCAGGAAGCAGAGTGGAGGACACGCCCCTGTCTGTATCAATGGAGCTGAGGTGGAGAAGGTCGAGAGCATCAAGTTGCTGGGAGTGACGATCACCAACAATCTGTCCTGGTCATCTCACATCAACATGATGATCAAGAAAGGACAACAGTGCCTCTACTTCTTTAGGAGGTGAAGGAAATTTGGCATATCAACAAGGACTCCGACTAATTTCTATCGATGCACCATAGAAAGCATCTCATCTGGATGTATCACAGCGTGGTATGACAATTTCTCTGTTCAAGACTGCAAGAAAAGACAGACAGTCATGAACACAACCAGTCCATCGACAAACCAGCTTCCCATCCATTGATTAACATCTATACTTCCCACTGCCTTGGGAAAGCAACTAACATAGTCAAAGACCCATCCCACCCCAGTTATACTCTCTTCCACCCTCTTCCATCGGGCAGAAGATATAAAAGGTTGAATAAACGTACAAACAGATTCAAGAACAGCTTCTTCCCTGCAGTTATCAGACGTTTGAACGGACCTCTCAAATGTTAATGTTCATCTCTCTCTGCACCTTCTCTGCAGCTGTAACACTGTATTCTGCACTCTGTTCTGTTAACCTGACACACTTTGTATGGTCTGATCTGTCTGTATAGCACGCAAAACAATACTTTTCACTGTATCTCAGTATATGACAAAAATATATCAAAAGCAAACTCAAACTCATGCCTCCTTCAATAGACTTCCAGACCAGTGACTGCAAGGAACTGGAAGGTCAAGGGCAAATGATGCAGGGGAGATTACCACCTGCAAATTCACCACTGAGCCACATTATTTGAGACATGGAACTATATCAATATTGCTTCAGGATGCTGGATTAAGGCCTAGAACTCCCTTCCTAACCGGTAGCCCTATAGCCCAAGGATTGCAGTGGCTCAAGAAATCAATTCACCAACAAAAATAACATTAAAAAAACACATACAAATTAGATGCAATATTACTGCATTCTTACTTATCAATTTAATTGGAACTGTAGGGTCACAGTGATGTTCTTTCTATTTGCAGAATTTTTTGTGCTGGCAGTCGAAGCCTCCCACAGTCATCATTTTTTTTTTGTAAAGAACATAGCAACTCAGAGCTAAGAAATTCAGAATGGTGTCTTTGAAGAGATACCAAAGCGCTCTCTCAGCGGAGGTCAGTCAGTTTCTGTTATTTGCAACTTGCTGGTTTCTGGTTTCTGTCCTTTGGTGCGGCTTCTGATCAGGTTGAAGTTCATGAGCTAGAGACAGTGCGCAAATTACATATTCCTGAAATTGATCGTTCTACTTAACTCAAACATCATAGGAAAGCAGTAGTCATTAAAAAAGAAGTAGCCTCTTCAGTTGCAATCTATACATGAGAAAACAAATAAATTTGCAACTGACTAATGTTTGCCAAAAACAGTACCTGTTCAACACTGCACATACATTACGCTATTTCAATTCAACTTCTCTGATCATCTGGGAATCTCAGTCTGTAAACAAAGGTCAACATTCTCCTGAAATGCTCTTAAAATGGATAAAGTTCAAATTTTATGAGGTTGTGAAGCAAAATTCTCTCTGGTCTTCGGGTATCAAAATCATTGCTTACTATACAATGAGGATCACAGAATAGACCAATGCTTGATACATCTGGGGATGCAAGGTTCCTCATTGCATCACCAAGATTAAAGTGAGAATAAAACAAGACACCGCCAATGGAAAGAAAAGTAGTAAGATCAGCTTCACATTGCTTTTAGTGAATGCCAGATTCCTGTAGACTTCATACAAAAAGGAGAAATAAAGGATTAAGATTCCATGCTAAGAATAGGGAGGGCGGGGGATTGAAGTGGTTAGTAGGCAATTTTAAAACTGGAGTTCTGACAGCTGTTTCCATTCTCTATGGACCCTACTGAACCTCCAAGATTATGCAATAACTGCACATTATTCAAATTGGTGCAATTTGCAATCACACTTAAACTAATCATTCTTAACTGGTAAGTCAATATGCTTACCACAGATGAAGTGAGCACAATTTCAAGTTGAGAAAAGTGTAACTAATACAAGCCTTAGGTTACAGAGAGAAATGGCCGACTAGGATTGAAATCACGAGCTCAGTGGATGCAGGAAGCTATTCATAGAATTGGCCATTTGGTCATTTGAAACATTTATACAATTATCCCCATGTAACTGATTTTTTTCTTCTGTTTTAGTGTATTTGTGGATTGTTATTAATGAGTTTTTTTGCAGCACACATTTAGATCACGACACTCATTACGTTGAAAAAAAAACTCTTCTGCAACCTACAAGCTTGAATGGCAAAGCATGAGCACTAATTAAAAGTAAAAATAGACGTATTAAATGGAATTAAATTATCATTCAAATTAGAAAATCACTTCAGCAATGATCAAAATAGTTCAGTGTAACTCCACAACCTCATCACTGACCATCCGCTCACAGTCAGAATGGAGGTACCTGACTACAATGAACATCATTTCTCAGTGGAATTGCCAGTATGCCCCGAAAGAAGGAGAAATCAACCAGGCATGAATGAATGAGCGCATAAAAAAAAATCTCCAGACACAACACAGGCTTGATTAATTCTTACTGTTCCTTCTTGCCATTTCCCTTGGATTCTTCATATTTACTAGATTAAAGTAACTTACTTCAACAATTGTTTTTATTCTTCTCATGAAGATTATCAGTTAATGTACTTCAATTATAAATAAAACCATTTTCTGAAAGAGGATGTCAATTAGAAGTGAAGGAGGTAATCCAGTTTCTTTAAATGGGAACAGACTTACATTTCTCTGGAGCCTGATACTGACTGACAAATCACAAAATAAGTATTTTGGGAGTTTCTCAACATCTGGCAGAAACATTTCAGCATATGGAAATTCAAACAATTAATAAATGCTAAAGATGAAATATAACAATTGATATGCTGTCAACTCTACGAATAGTCAACGTGACTAGTCCTGTTGTAATAAGAGTGAGAGTAAGCTTGGGAATGTGCTTTGACAGTCAGGTGCATAGGGAGGAAACAAGCTGAGAGCAGAAGACTCATGCACACCTCCAACCAGTTCCCAAAAGAAAACATTAGCCGAAACCAGCTGAAAGCAGAACTGTCTGTAACTTGCCTCGAACCAGAATAACTGGTATGTGCTGAGAAATCCAACCAGAAATCATTTTGCACCTGATTTTATCAGCCAGTCTTGGTTGTGACCAGTTATGATTTACTGGGAACAGTGAACTGGGGGCTTTGTTTTCTCACATTCACTCATGGAATATGGGTGTCACTGGCTGGTTAGCACCTTTCTTTGCAGTATCCGATGTCTCTAACTAATTTTTGGTATCACTTGGAGTGAATTGAATTGGCTTATGACTGGCATCTATGATGCTGGGGACCACTGGGGAGACTGAGATAGATCATCCACTAGGCATTTCTGGCTGAAGACTGCAGTGAATGCTTCAGCCTTATCATTAGCACTGATGTGCTGGCCTCTTCCATTGTAGAGGATGTGGATAATTGGGGAGCCACCGTCTCCAGTGTGTTATTTAACTGTCCGTCACTGTTCATGGTTGAATGAGGCAGGACTGCAGAGCTTATATCCGAGCCTTTGGTTGTGGGATTCCTTAGCTCTGTCTATCACTTGCGGCTTATGCTGTTTGGCGTGCAAGTAGTCTTGTTTGGTAGCATCATCAGGCTGACACCTCATTTTTACATATGCCCAGTGTTGCTCCTGACATGCCCTTCTGCATTCTTTATTGAACCAGGGTTAATCTCCTGGCTTGATGGTAATGGTTGAGTGGGGAATATGCCGGGCTACAAGGTTGTGTTGAAGTACAGTTCTGCTGCTGTTGACAGCCCACAGTGCCTCATGACTGAAGCAGGCTACCACAACCTTCCTTGCATTGTGCAAGTGCTCAGCTTTGTTTCTGCAACTGGTGTTGAATATCAATTAATTTTTCCAGAACAAGGTGCATGACAGACTTGTTGCTGTTTAATCTACAACTTTCCAGGGACATACCTCACGGCTGGGAATTATCCACTTCCAAAATGTAAATCCGTTCGAGGTATTCTCATTGTTCAATTTTTCATTTACATTATTTGCACAATAAAAATACACAGGCAACATTTAATAGGTTTAACGCAAGACAAGTGGAAGAGGTTGGCAGACAACATAGTCAGCTGGAGCACTAA